ATCCACTCTACCCCGCACCATCCCCACTATCCACCATCACAGCTAACACAACCCCAGAATCATGGCATCCGCTCCCAGAGGTCGTCTCCAAGGCAAGAATGCCATCATTACCGGTGCAGCTGGGTAAGCTACACGTCTCTAAACCCTCAATATCCCCATCGACCATCCCACTGACCAACCCAGCGGCATCGGCCTCGAAACCAGCATCCTCTTCGCCCGCGAAGGCGCCAACATCCTAATGGCCGACATCTCCGCCCCCGCCCTCGAGAAAGCCCTCGCCAAGGTCAAAGAAGTCGTTCCCACCGCTCCCCGCGTCGAGACCATCAAATGCGACGTCTCCAAGGAATCCGACGTACAAGCCATGGTCGAGTCCCAGGACAGCTGGGGCGGCACCGACGTCATCTTCAACAACGCAGGTATCATGCACGCCGACGATGCCGACGCCGTGGACACCCCCGAGAAGATCTGGGATCTGACGCATAACATCAACGTCAAGGGTGTGTGGTTTGGATGTAAGCATGCTGTGCTGAGTCTGCGTCGTCACAAGAAGACCAAGGGCAGCATCATCAACACGGCGAGTGTGGTCGCCTTGGTGGGAAGTGCTACGCCGCAGTTGGCGTACACGGCTAGTAAGGGTGCTGTGTTGGCGTTGACGCGCGAATTGGCTATTGTGCATGCGAGGGAGGGATTCCGGTTTAATGCGCTGTGTCCGGCGCCGTTGAAGTTAGTCTACCCCTTTCTTTGATCATAATGATGGGTATGGTTACTGACATGTTGTAGCACTCCCCTTTTGCAAGATTGGCTGGGTGACGACAAGCCCAAGCGCTTCCGGCGGGAGGTGCACTTCCCTACTGGTCGGTTCGGAGAGGCTATTGAGCAGGCTCATGCCGTGGTGTTTTTGGCTAGTGATGAGAGCAGCTTCGTCAATGGTAGTGACTTTGTTGTGGATGGTGGAATGTCCAAGGTATATACCCATTAATTGTTTGTTTGGTCAATACTAACTAGATGTAATAGGCGTATGTGACTCCAGAGGGACCGGCCACCGCCGCTCCTCAGAACCTGGGGCATTAGTATAGCCATCATACGATATATGAATTGAATGAACTTGAAATCGGTCTTAAAAAATCAGTACTACACTCTCAATCCCAACAATCAGCCTATGTAAATCAATTCATCTCTAATAATCTATCAAACAAGTCTATAACCATCATCCCAACCCAGAGAACAGAATCTATCAACTAAATCTTCTTCAACCCCAACACCCCCTCCTCCCGACTCAACGTCGTAAACCGACTAAACCCCCCAGCCCCCTTCTCCTCATCCACTCCATTCCTCCCACTCCCACCAACCCCCTGAATAGTATTCCTCTCATCCCCCCTCTTCGCCGCCCACCTCCTCACAAAAACCCTCTTAACCCACTTCCACCCCTCCACACCACCCAAAAACAGCCCCGCCTCGACAAACACAACCCCCCACTCCCACCCAATCCCAATATGCTTAAACACCACATCATTAATGACCGGGATATACAGCACGGGAAACGTAAGCACAAATCCGATCACAATGCCCCAGAAGAGGTACTTGTTGCGGTAGATGTCGGAGAGCCAGCCTGTGTATTTATTTCTAGGCTTGGAGGTGGAGGAGGTAGGGGTAGAAGAGTCATGCATATTGAACAGACTACGCCGCAAATGCATCATCTCCCAGGCCAGGAGCAGCGCGAACCAGGTCATGCAGACGAAGGTGGTGGCGCGGGCGCGGAAGACCGTGTCGCAGGGGGTCGAGTAGCTGCTGTTACATTCTGTTGCGAGGTTACCGTCGCCCCAGGCGAAGAGGACGAGGGTGAAGGCGCTGAGGCACAGGGCGGCCATCCAGATGCCGTAGACGAGGGTGTCGATGATTATTTCCGGGGTGAAGATGCCGTTTTTCTATTCATCATTCGTTGTTAGTTATTGTATGGTATAGTAGGGGATAAAAGAAGGGTACATACACTCTGCGGCGGTCTATCCATCACATCACTCGCCGCCATCTCCATTCCCAGTCCGATATCAGGCAGTCCGGATGTGATCATGATAATCCAAAGGATTTCCACCGGTGCGATAGGGAACACACTCTGGCCGTTCTCGTCCTTGAAAACCAGTCCGATTAGTAGGGTTAGCGCTAACCCTACGTTCTCAGCGAGCAGATGCAGTACGAATTTCTGGATATTGTCGAAGATGCGACGGCCCTCTTCGATACCGTTGATGATACTTGCGAAGTTGTCGTCTGTTAGGACCAGCTCCGATGCATCTTTCGCCACGTCGCTGCCTGCTTGGCCCATTGCGATTCCCACGTCTGCCCGCTTCAGCGATGGCGAGTCGTTCACTCCGTCGCCTGTCATTGCGGCGTACCGGCCGCGGCGGTGCAACGCCTCGATCATCCGCACTTTGGTGTGCGGGGCACAGCGCGCGATCACGGCGGGGAGGGTTGGTAGAGCGTCGATTTCGGACTCGCTGAGGGAGTCGAATTGGCTAGCTGTCATGACGAGGTTGTCGGCTACGTCGCGCGAGAGGAGCTGTGCGTTGGCGGGGATGATGCCGACTTGGGCGGCGATGGCTCGGGCGGTGCCTGGGTGGTCGCCTGTTACCATGTGCACGGAGATGCCGGCGCGGTGGCATTCTTCGATGGCTCCGGCGGTCTCTGGGCGAGGGGGGTCGTAGAGCCCGATCAGGCCGGCGAAGGTGAGGTCCTGTTCGACGGTGTCACGGGGTGGGACGTCGGTGAAGGTGGAGGAGCTGGTGCGGTGGGCGAGTGCGAGTACGCGCAGGCCTTCGCGTGCCAGTGCTTCCATGTTTTGGAGGATGGTGTTGCGGATGTCGTCGGTTAGGGGCACGGGTTCGGAGGTGCCGGTGGTCCAGACGATGGATGTGCAGGCTTCGAGGACGCGTTCCACGGCACCCTTGGTGAAGATCACGTCGGTGTCGTCCCGGCGGAAGATCACGGACATCTTTTTGATGGTCGAGTCGAAGGGGTACTCGGCCTGCTGTGTCCAGACGGGCTTGTCACCAGCGGTCCATATTTCACGGCCCCAGTCGAAGCGCGCTGCGAAGACCTGGATGGCAATGTCGGTGGGCTCGCCACGGGCTTGCCATTGTCCGTTTTCTTCGGAGCGGTGCACGTGGGCCAGGTTGGCCATGGCTGCGACGTCCAGATAGCGCTGCAGCAGGGCACTGTTTGTCACTATCTCTTGCGGCGTCTTGGTGTCGCCTTCGCTTTCTCCTTCTCCGGGCATGGCGTCGATGACCTTGAGCTCGCCGTCATACGGGTCCAATGGGTCACGGGAGACTCCGACTGAGACTGTACCCAGCCCTGGAACCCAGGCCTTCTTGGCCACCATGCGTCCTTGGGTGAGGGTGCCCGTCTTGTCGGAGCAGATGTTCGACACGGCGCCCAATGCCTCGAGGGAATCCATCTTCCGCACAATCACGTTCCTCTCGACCATCTGCTTCGTGCCCATAGCCATGGTGACCGTCAACACGACCACGAGACAAGCGGGAATCATGGCCAATCCGGTAGCCACGGCGTAGATGATCACTTCCTTGTCATCGCGCATGTCATTGGCGCCCATCACAATGATTGCGAATACTACTGCAATTCCAAACAACAGCAGCGCCAGCTTACTCAGTTTCCGCTGGAGTGGTGTCCCCACGTTAATTCCCAGGAACCGACCCACTGCATCTGTGCATGTCAATGTCCAAGCCACCACGTACCACCGCTTCTTGGTCTCGCCTTGAGGACCGCGACGGACGGGCCGGCGCCGCTGGTTGCCATTCTCACGGAGTGCCGCAGCAATCGCACCGATCTCGGTTTTCATACCAGTGCTGATCACCACGCCGCGCGCGCGGCCCCGGGTGACGGTGGAGGAGCTGTATGCGATATTGAGACGGTCGCCGGGTCCAGTGTCAGCGGGGAAGGTAGTAGTGGATGATTTGGTAACGGGGAGGGATTCGCCAGTAAGAAGGGCTTCGTCTGTCTCAAAGTTCATCGTCTCCACTAGTCTATTTTGTGTTAGATCATTATCTCATTATGAATGTTTCAATGGAGTGGCAAGTGTATGACGCATACCGTAAATCAGCCGGAACTGTATCTCCCACTTTCAAATCGACCATATCGCCCACGACGATCTCCATGGCGGGGATGGTGCCCGTCTTGCCGTCACGGGTGACGACTCCTGTGGGCGAACTGAGGCCGCGTAGCGAGTCCATGGTCTTCTCGGCCGCGTAGTCCTGGTAGACGCCTACGATGATGTTCAGGGCGATAACGGCCCCGATGACACCGCCTTCGATCCAGGATTCAATGCCGAAACTGACGGCCATGGCGATGATGAGGACCTGAATAGTAGATCATGTTAGCGAGATGGAAAGGCATGATGGTAAAGATTGGGCAACTTACCAGCATCATTGCGTTTGCCACCTGGCGGATGATAATCTTCGCGAGGGAGATGCCCTCGTCCCCTTCGAGTTCGTTGGGTCCCCATTTCTGAAGGCGGGACTTTGCTTCCTGGGTGCTGAGACCTTCTTCTGAGTTGACAGAAAGCTCTTGCAAGACGGAGGCATAGGGAAGGGTGTGGGCGGGGGCGGAGAGGGGAGAGTGGGAAGGGGTGGAGGCAGTCTGAGACTGTTTCTCAGTGCCCATATTGGGGTATTTGTGTTTTGTTTCTGTGTCTGTGTGTAATGCTTGGGGTTTCTCTACTAAAGGTAGGAAATCACGGAGGTGTCATGTAGAATGTATCCTCTATGGAATGAGAGTCCATACACGTGAGGCGAAGCAGTGAATTGATTTGATCTGATCTGTTCTAGATCCTGATTCTTGCTTATTTCCAATTCTAAACTCTCTCTTCGACATGATCCCGGGGAATTCATCCTTCTTATAAGTGTTTCTGTATCGCCGGACCTGGAAGTAGTCTTGGCATAGAGTATAGACACCCAAGGCCGAGAAGAACTGCCCAGCCTGCCAAGCGCCAATCACAGAACCCCCGGAAGCGATGCCTTGGCGCCAACCTTGGGCGCGAAGTCGGCGAGTCTCGCCTCTTTCGGGATTATGACGCATACGACCACAGCATTCCGCCACGTGAGCCAGTACGAGCATCGAGACCCGAGTTCGAGCGATATGATTGGTGCAGCGGCCGAGTGGCCCCAGCGGAAACGCCAAGGTGTTCCGGAGCGCGGAGACTTGGCGCCTCCTGAGGCAATAATACAGACTGCACCGCAGGGTGACTGTCCGGTGGCCTTGGCGTGCTGCTGCGCGGGGGTCTGAGGGCCACTCGCTGGCTCAACTTTAAATGCAGCCGTCTCTGTCCTCGGAGACCTGCCCCAATTCCCCCGCCGGTGATGGATCCCATTCCCAGTATCCCCCCATGCAACCATCCCCACCACCTTACCCCTGCTGACGCTGCTGATGCTGCTTTGGAAGCTGTCGTGAGGAGTGAGTCGCTGGCTTCGAGCCGATTTATCCGATGCGTCATCTCCTGAGCGCAGTTGACCTATCGATCTTATCTTTGTTGTTGTTCCTCCGTATACTTCCGATGGCTGGGGATACGCACCACACCGGCATAGTGGGTGTCATTGTGGGTGCAGTGGTGTTGTTTGTGGCCTTGAGTACGATCCCATTGTGAGTTCTAGTGTTCCAGTGTCCCCTATTGGAGGCTCAACTGCTGCATGCATGCCCTGGTGGAGGATGCTGCATGCTGGTTGAATTCCATTGTTTGGATGTATCTAACCTGACAGTATCGTGCTGTACCATCATCGTCGACGAGCAACTGCCAGACGCAGTAGCGAACTCCGCAACCTCACCGATGGCGGCATAATGCGGCAGGTATCGGTCGATCGATGGCTGGACGAGCAGACACACGCGAGCTGCGAGGATCGGTTATACGCTCAGGAATCCTGGTAAGGCTGTTCTCCTTTGGGTGGCGCCAACGCTTGGCCGAGATGCGGGGACACATTGCTGGTAGCGGTCTTGGCCGGACTTGCGTTCCATAGAACTGATGCATGGCTTCCTTGGTAGTCCCATCTGTCTGTCAACCCTAGCAGCGTCCCAAGATACCCTTCCTTTTCCCGAGCCGGCCTGGGTCGCACCATCACCCCACGACGAGCCCAACCTGCATGACACAATGGAGGCCGATCGAGTGTCTGGGAGGAGAAACATCCTGGTCCTCAACCGTTGCCACCATGTCTTCCATGCGTCCTGTCTCGCATCATGGTTCGAATACCATCAGTATAGATGCCCGATTTGTCAGACATCATATTTCAGCGAATAGCCCGCTACAACATTGCAGATAGTCAGCGACCGCAATGGAAAGTCTTTGTTCCCGCGTATATCTTTTGCCAAGACTAGTGCTATGGTTGGCAAACTCTAAGTCTGTTCATGTCCATTTGACTCGTTCGAACAGGGTCGTCACCATGACCACGATGTCACTTCAGAACCAAGCATAATCGTTGTGCATGGCAGGCCCTGAATGAGTGCGTTAATGTACGACCACTAGCTGCATGGCTAGAGCGTAGCATATGTTGGCAGTCGGGGAAGACCCCACGATTTGGCTAGGATCCTCTTCCCGAAACTTTCTAGAACACACGTCAGGCAGATCCCCGGGCTATTCTAGCCTTATCATCGTTGCCACTGGGATGCAGACATCATATCAACTCACTTCAGCGTCTAACCGAGTGCACTACTGTGCGCACAATGGCCTTCGTCCGTGCGCAAATGGATCGCCTCCTTGGATAATCTCGTCAAACCGTGCGCTGACTCGGCTGTAGTTGAGCCCGTAGCGACCAAGCTCGCGCAGCCGAAATGACACCCAGTCTTGGTATATTCTGTCGGACGTGGCAATCCCCGCGATGAATAGAGGCCACGTGATGCGCACCATCAAGTGCGGCCTGCTGCGATGTAGCTTCAAAGAAAGTTCCAGAACCTGGGAAACGGCATCATGCAGGGTCATCATCCCTGCACCCTGCAGTCCTTTGGCCAGGGTGTCTTTGAAGCACAGGTGAAAGTACACAATTGTGCCGTAGTAAGTAATGGCTGCCCAAAAGATCGTTTCCATCACGCGACGTCCGTCACCTACGACTTCACACGAGGGCGCAGACTTGGCGGAACTCAACAAGGTGTCGAATTCCTGATCAGTGGATTAGTCGCTTTCGGCCACCCATGTGCAGACATGACAGGTCATCTGCAGGGATGAGACGGATACTTACATCAGATAATACGTTGAGTTCATTAATGATCTCAAGGCCCGACTTGATTGAAGGATTTCCTTGCCGAAATAACTCCGTGATCTTGAATTGCAGTACATGACTTCGATGATACAACGATAGCCCCGGCATATTCTCCATGTCATCCAATTGGGCGGTGGTGGGGTAGGAATCGCCCCAGAATCGAGACGGGGACTGTCTGCCAATCCTATACAGCTCAGAAAGACTCAGACCCGCACTTCCTGCTTCGTCTTGCATGAAAAACCGGAACAGGTCGGCATCGAGCCTGGCAGCACCTGGGCCAGAGAGCAAAGCGCCCGGTGTGAAAAAGTACAGAGTCCAAAGCAGAAAAAGAGGGACCGCTGTATGTCGAAGTCTGTCTTTGGACAAATCCGCAGTCTGTTGCAGCACAGGGCTCTCGCATGCGCTCATGCTCTGGGCCTCATCTGCGACATTACATAGTGCAGTCGGTGAACTTGTCTCTGCATTTGCGATATTTGGAGCCTCTAGTTGTTTGAGTGACGGGACGACATGGTTGAAGAGTAGACTCTCGATTCCGCGGATGTGAATATTAATTCCAGCAGTCCCGCTGCCGAATCGGTTCTCATAATCGATCATCATCCACAAGGTAATGAAGATGGCTTCGATCTGCGCCGGGGACTTGACGTCTGGTTTCAGCGCTTCCCGAAGACCAGAGAGAGCCCGGCCATAGTGCAACCTACTGTCCATGTCGGACAAGCTCTCAATGGTACATTGTCCGTCCGTCTTGTCCCGGTCGTACAAACGCGACCGGTTGATTTCACTCGACGTAGTCGCCAACATCATGCTCATAACCATGGGTTCTTTGACTGCAATCTTATGGTATGCATAAGACACGGTAGACCACGGCCAATGCTTACCTAGGATCACGACCAGCGCAGAATCCTGAAGATAATTCAAGCACGAGCGATCAAAGTCCGATATGACCAGAGAATTGGCCGCTTGGATGCTCTTCCCAGCACCACCAGTGGGCGATAAAGAACGCGCAGGAGACGGGACAGGCTGACAGACCATCTGCGCTTCCAGCGGGCGAGTGTCTCTTCCGGGCCTTTTAGCTGGGCCCCGGGGGATGGGGCCGCCCTTCCACTCACATACGATCCGGGCCGCAGTGCAACGCCGGCATTGTGGCTCCTGCTGGCCAGGAACGAATAGTTTCTCTTCGTCGCATTTGACCTTGCGAATTCTACACGTGCGACAACCTGCGCTGCAGTAAGTCCGACCATTCTGAAAAGAAACCCCGAAAAAAGCAAACCTAGACAATTGGCGTAAGACAGAACTGGTGGGGATCCTTACCGGTCTTGGACCGAGTCCTCCTGCCGAGCCCATGCATCGTCTATCGGTTCTATCGCGTGCTTGCCGTTGCTCCACTTGCTCGCGGTGTGCCTGTCGGGGAGGAATGTCCTGTCAGACTCGACATGTAACCTGGTCAAAAGCAGGGCCATTAGAGACACCGAGCCGAGACAAACCAACCAGGAGGACATCAAAAGGAGAGGGGGGAAGAGAGAATGCGGAGAATTGAATCGCCAACCGATGCTCTTTTTTCCCTCCTGCCGCCATTCCTGCCGAGCCTCGCCCGCCGATTGGCTGCATCGGCACCGGTCATGTGACCTCGGTATCGGCAATTGTGATGGCTTCAACTGTACCAAATACAGTAGTAGATAGTCTAGTAGTAGATAAGTCACTTCCTATCACTTATCAATAGTAGATACCGATAGCCCCCTCTCGGATCTCCGCAATCAATGCGGAGAACCATCTCCACCATGCACGATCCAGCTATAAAATGCCGTGCATGCCAGTCTCCAACTCTGGCACCTGAGTAATACAATCAAACCCTACCTAGTACTTAGTACACACCAGCCACAACCATGCAGCTCGAAGCAACACAACAACGTTTTATCGCCAGTGTCGAAGAAGCCCTCCACAAACATGCCTCCGAGCTAGAAGACATCAACAGAAAGGCAAGCCCCAACACACCCACCCATACCTCACATACCTACTAACTAACCAACCCCAGATCTGGTCCACCCCGGAACTAGCCTACACAGAACACCAAGCCCACGACAACATCTGCACCCTCTTCGAAACCCTCCAACGTACCAACCCATCCTACCGCATCCAACGCTCCGCCTACGACCTCCCAACCGCCTTCGAAGTAACCTACACCCACGGCAGCACCGGCGGCCGCACCATCGTCTTCAACGCCGAATACGACGCCCTCCCCAACATCGGGCACGCCTGCGGCCACAACCTCATCGCAACGAGCTCCATCGCCGCCTTCATCGCCACCTGCGAAGCCCTCAAACACCAAGCCCCGAAGGACTCCAACTACACCATCCGCCTCCTCGGCACCCCCGCCGAAGAATCCGGCGGCGGGAAAGTCCGTCTCCTCGACAATGGAGCCTACAAGGACGTCGACGCCTGCCTAATGGTCCACCCTATCCCCATGGCCCCGGGCCATCCAGAGCTACTCAGCTTGGCCACAGTACTACCCGGTGGGTTCCTAGCGAATGATAAAGTCACCGTGACGTTCACGGGCAAGCCGGCGCATGCGGCCGCAGCGCCGTGGGAGGGCGTGAATGCCTTGGATGCGGTGGTCGCGGCGTATGTGAATATCTCGCTGTTGAGGCAGCAGATTCTGCCCACGCAGAGGATTCATGGTGTCGTGGCTAGTGGGGGCGATAGGCCGAATGTGATTCCTATGTCGGCATCAGTGGATTATTATATTCGCTCGCCGACGAAGAAGGGATTGAAGGCGTTGACGGAGAAGGTGGTCAAGTGTTTTGAGGCGGCGGCGTTGGCGACGGGGTGTGGGGTCGAGTTTGAATGGTGAGTTAGCCAGTTCCCACGGTTAATGCTTCTGAATGCTAATGTATGGTGGGTAGGGGTGTCTCGTACGACGACCTCAAAACCAATAATCCTATCTGCGAGAGCTACGTCTCTGTTATGCGCGCTATGGGTCACCATACGGTGATGAATAACGCCGGCCAGTCTGGTAAACTTACTGGCGCGTCTACTGATATGGGTACGTCAACCCACAACATCCACATCATAGTCCTAGATTCAGATTGATTAACGATGATACTTACAGGAAACGTCTCCTACGCCCTCCCCGGCTTCCACGGCCTCTTCACCATCCCCACAGATGGCGTCAATCATACTCCGGGTTTCACCAACGGTGCTGGTTCACCTGAGGCGCATAAGCGCTGTCTGGCCTGTGCGGCGGGGATGGCTGTTGTGGCGTGTCAGATTGTGACGGATGATGAGTTTGCGAGGAGGGTGAAGGAGGATTTTGAGGTCGAGGCGGAGGAGTAAATGATTCAGCTTTTATGATGGATTAGGGTTACTATGATGATTATTGCAAGAATATGAATATGTCATGACATGATTACTGGATTTTGAGTGCTTGTGTGGATACTGTGGTAGTAGCACATAGTGGCTGAGGTATACTAGATCCCCTTGATGTGTATTGAAGGCTGACTTCTCTAAGTAATGGATGATTTTATTACTGATCTGCGATCTCAGTCTCGATCCTACTAGTAACTCTGGGGCTTCTAACCTCGCTCAGTATTTATCGTTACAACTATCAATGCAGTAACTCCGTCCAGGTAACTCGACATTTACATCATATTCCATATACTAACCCCCCAACCTAGTATCTACCCCATCAATAAACATACCTAAACCCCGGATTCTTCAGATCCGTAACATCAGCCAACACCTCCCTCTCCTCCCCTTCTCCCATTCCCATCCCCAATCTATCCCTCCTCGCATTCTCCCACCTCAAGTACACCACAAACGCCACAAGATCCACAACCACGACGGCCAGACACACGAACACGGCTATAAAGCCACTCTACATATCCCAATCAACTCATGTTAGTTCATTTCACACGTAATATATATCTATATTTGGTGTGGGTCAAACGCACCTGATATCTCGGCGCCTGACTCTCAAAAAACAGCTGCGGGCCGATAATATTCCCCACGCAGTACATGATAAAGTATATGGCGCTGACGGTGGCTCGCTTGGTGATGCCGCCGATGTTGGCGCTGATCATGGCCATTGAGAGGGGTAAACTGACGGAGTAGAGGCTCATTAGGATGAGGCCGATGTAGCGGGAGGCGATGGCTTTGGTGCTGTTGACGAGGGCGGTTCCTAGGATGCTTTTCTCGTTTGTTAGTGGGGATGCAGGGCTGGGGTTGGGTGTGGTTTGATGGGGAGGGGGATGTACCTGACGCAGGTGAGGATGATGGAGGTTATGCAGCGGCTGTTGGCGAGTTTGGTCGAGGTGAAGCAGCTATAATTTCGTAGAATGTTAAATAAGGTTCATATTTAGGTGAGGGATAAAGGTGGTAGGGCATACGATATCAAGATGATAAGGAAGACGATAAATCCTCCAGGCATGCCTAGCAGTAGAGTATGTTCGGTGTCGTATCCGAAGCCCTTAAGGATAAGGCCTGAAAACTGTGTATCATCGGATTAGTCGCGCAATCTACTAACATATATGAAGAACTCACTGTCGTATAACCACCATTGGGAATATTGCAGCCCAGAACAAACACAGCCAGGAACCATGTCTTCGAGTCTGTAAACGCTTCCATAACCTGGCCCCATTCGATCTTATTGTTCTTGTACCCGGCTTTGTTTGCCTTCAGTCGTGCCAGCGCAATGACCCTCTCCTCGTCTGTTAGGAAGGAAGCATTTGTGGGTGAGTCGGGCAGGCGGAGAAGCATTACAAACCCCCAGAGGAAAGTGACAATGCCGAAGATGATAAACATCCACTATCAGAAGTCAGCTTTGCGAAAATATTCAGGGCATCTGTAAAGGTTCTACCTTCCATGATGCTAAGCTGTCCTGAATCTGCCAGATACCCACTGCAATGGCATTCCCAAGCACCAACGACAAACTATTTCCACAGAACCAGATACCGTGGCGCAGTGGTTGTTCAGACGTGCGATACCATAGAGATGTAAGTAGGCCGAAACCCGGGGTTACACTGGCTTCTGCACAGCCTAGGAAGAACCGGGCGACCATGAGTCCGGTGAAGTTCGTGGTAGCAGCATGACATGCGAGGACGACGGCCCAGCAGAGACTATAACGTTAAGCATGTGGTGTGGCATCAGGAAGAGGAAGACGTACTATGTGCACGCCAAGTACTTCCCCAAGGGAAACTTGACAAGCAGTAGTGATGCAGGATAGCTGGATACTCCTCATCAGAATTGATCATCAAGCTATACTGCTTCACGTAATGTCAACTCACCTAAACGCAAGATACCCAAAGTAGAAGATCGACGAAGTCCAACTATACTCCGTCCCATGCAGCTTCAGGTCCGTCAGAAGACCCATAATAGCAGAGTAATTCAACGTCTGCTTATCCACAAACGACATCATATACGCAACCAGCATGATGGGAAGAATCCTAAATCACCGTTAACCCTCCTCCACTCCCATAAACCACATCCAAAGCATACATACCGAAAATCAATCTTCCTCACAAGCCTCTTCTCCGCCTCAGCAGAGAACCGAGGCATCGATTCCAGCTCGATCACTCCATTATCAAAACTTGTCTTCACAGCTTCAAGATCACCATCAACACTCTGCTCCTTCTTTTCAGTCGTAAAGTCCGCCATACTGTTGAAAAAAGGACGACAGTATTCAGGCGAATACCAACACGCGCATATTCTTCCCTAAATACATCCCAACACCCACCCCAGATATCATCCAAACCCCCTCAGCATCCTAACAACCATATCTTGGCACGAAACTCAATATCATAACTGCAACACTCTCCGCCAACACGATCATTGGCTGTATCGGCAAGGCTGGCCCCGATCGACAACAGCCGATGCCGAGATAGAGTACCTTCCACTTTACCCCAGGTTTTTTTTCGCTCTTATCGAGCCTGCATTAGGCTAGCGGGTTGGATATCCGTGCGCTGCACTGATAGCAGGTTCGGGGTTGATGTGATTGGTGGTAGGGTGAGACACCCACTAACTGGTATTGTTGTTGCTCTAGGCAGTAGTGCTAGATATTAGGGCCTGTCTTATCGCCGATTCCCTATCGATGATGGCTTTGGTGGAAGATGATGGGGAAGTCATCTCCTAAGTTGTTAACGTTCTGAGTAGTGTACATGGATGGTATGCAAGATTACAAAGTACTCTCAATTTAGGATGTTGATGTAGAGAGCAAGTAGGTCTTGTATAACAACAGACTCGACTGTGGGCCAGACAATCTGGTTTCTGCTGCACTTAGATGAGTATACCCTGTAAGTATGATATCAGCTGTGTGTATGAGGGCATCGACTATGGCGGCTACTCTGCAAGATGATAACATGAGGAGGGTCGGCAACGTCTTGATCCTGGCTGATAAACATGGATCGTGTTGTTGGTGGGTTCGGCAGCATATTGCATAGCCGTCGGCAGCGAGTCCATCCACTAGCATCTACCCTAGCCCAGTCTCTGGTCATTTTAGTACCAATCTGCAGAATCCTGATTCTCTCGGTCCCACCATATCGTAACTCTAAGTATTCTATCACTGGCTAATTCTCGTTTATCTCATACACGATATCTTCAAAATCTCGCTTCAAATTATGGTATAATATCTCCATGTCGCATATACAATCATGACTCTACTGAGATGCCACAATCTGGTCCTTGACATACAGGTCGACGTACTGGTCGACATCATAGCCCTCGAGAGCGGCCCGGTCCCAGCCAATTTGGATCAGCTGGTCAATACGGGCCTGGTCAAAGTGCGCCTCCAGATGACGCTTGTACTTGGCCAGAATCTCCGGCTTGGCCTCCTCACGCCGCAGACGGTGGCCCAAGGGCGCCTCAACAACCACCTCATCAAGCACCGTTCCGTCGTTCAGAGTAACGGTGAGGGCGTTGGGGATGGTGCGCTTGGCAGGGTCGTGGTAATCCTTGGTGAACTGGGGGTCCTCGACACAGTAGATGCGCTTCCGCAGGTCATCCAGGAGCTGAGAGGTAGCGGCCTCCGATCCGTCGGCGTAGTCGTTGGCAGTCAACCGGTTGAAGGCCAACATGGTTGCGACCATGTACTGGCGAGCTGTCAGTATGCGGGGTACATGGCGAACAATGTTTGGATCCGAAATAACCTACCTGGACACAGTGATCACGATCGGCAAAGTTGTCCATCGGCTTGAACTGCTTGTCAATGATACGGATGCATGCCTCGTGGGTGCGGTTTCTGATCTCCTTGATGTCGGCGGCGGTCTTTCCAAGAGCCTTGAGCTTCACGTTGACGATCTGAGCGGCCTCAATCGCGGTCTGGGAGTGGAACTCGGCTATCAGTGCAACTGTTAGTATTTCCTCCATACTGATGTTCGATGCTAGACTTACCCGGGTAGGAGACCTTGAAAAGAACATTCTCCATGACGTAGCTACCGTAGGGGCGCTGGAACTGGAACTTGTTGCCCTTGAACAGGACATCGTAGAAACCCCAGATGGGGGCAGACAGGACGGTGTGCAGGCCACCCTCGCCCTTCTGCACCTTCAAGACGAGGTTGACGGCCCGCTGGCATGCGTCACCCGCAGCCCAGGACTTCCTCGACATGGTGTTGGGGGAGTGTCTGTAGGTACGGAGCGACTGTCCGTCCACGAACGCCTGGGTAATCGCGTCTGCGGTCTGCTTCTCGCTGAGACCGAGCATCTTTGCAACCACGGCAGTGGTGGCAACCTTGACCAGGACCACGTGGTCCAAGCCGACCTTGTTGAAGGAGTTCTCCAGCGCCAACACACCCTGGATCTCGTGGGCCTTGATCATGGCCTCCAGGACATCCTTGACCTGGAAGATCTTGCCGCCGGCGATGTTTCCGCCCGCACGGTTTGTGCGAGACACCCAGTCGGCGACAGCCAGAATACCACCCAGGTTGTCCGAGGGGTGACCCCACTCAGCAGCCAACCAGCAGTCGTTGTAGTCCAGCCAGCGGATCATAGCACCAATGTTGAAAGCGCCATTGACAGGGTCCAGCTGGTAGGGGGTTCCCGGAACACGAGTGCCATTGGGGACCACGGTGCCGTCCACCACCGGGCCCAGGAGCTTGGAGCATTCCTTGAACTTCAAAGCCTCCAGACCGCAACCCAGGGTGTCGAGGAACACCAAACGGGCGGTGTCATACTGCAAGTCAAGACATCTGCAATTAGTCCATCGCACACAGAAAAAGAGTCAAGCAAAATACGGGAGAACCATCGTACCGCCAAGTCCGAGTTCACATTGTAGTTGTGGATATAGTCGGCCATATCCTTGATCTCCGGGTCGTACGGCTTATCGCCGGGAACGACGGGGGCAGCAGATTGGAGGGGAGACATGGTGGAAAACCGAGAGACGCGAGAAAATGTTGAGGGTGTTCTGAGACTGGGACGAGCAACGGAGGAAAGAGAAGATGCAGGCCTGGAGACGGAGGAGATGCGGGAGGGCCAAGTGCGGGGAGACCTGTGGGTCAGCCGTCTCAACGCTGAACAAGAGGCAGACATGATGATGATTGATACCCAAGACGAATGCAATTAAGGGAGGAGGATGCAGCAATGCCGCCGGGTTGTGAAGGAAGAGAAGAAAAAGAAGAGGAAGGAAGGGCGGAAAGTACGGAGAAAATAGTAGACTTACGTTGCTGGGGGCAATCCAAGGGAAGAAGGGGAAAAGGAAAGGGACGGTGAGCTAAGATCACCCTGATCTCATACCGCCCCCGGCCTTGGACCGAGGCCATTCCTCTCTTCCTCCTACAATCAATCCGGGCGGTTATTGCCGGCTGTCCGGAGACACATGAAGCGGGGAGGGTTTCTCATCATTTTCTCTTACTACTTTGTTACTAGTCTTACTGATCGGAGAAGTCTATCGGCGCCTTTTCGCGTGGTCCCAATATTTAGAAAGTCAATGGCACTCAAAAACCAGTTTCAGTGCGACCGGTGCCTGACCCAGAGTTTTCTCCTCCTCAACACCTTCATCTCGATGAATTTCTACTAAACTACTAATAATGTTGGCTGAGCCCCTCCGTCTCAACCTCAGAATGCCCGGTCGAGAACTAGTGCTTTAGTATCATGCAGGAGGAGCCACCTTGCATGTCCTACGTTGACCGGATCCTGCATCTCCAACGCACAATTGAGATCATCTGGAAGCAAATTTATTTATTATCCGCATATCATGTTCCTCCTCTAACGTTTCTAAATATTCTTTCCCCCAAACTCGACCACTATCGTGGCGATGGCTGGCCCCCTTCTCTCCGCGGTTGGACGGCTTCATGCCTTCCCGCGGCTATCAAATAGAGGCAAAGGCATGTGGATCTCCTGGCGGATCATCCCCATCTTCCCCCCCTCAAGCTCTGACAGTCGGGACTCCACTCACTGAGGGTACCCGAATTCCACACCGAGGCCCGAAACACAACAAAAGCCCACCAATGCTGTCGAATTCACTGTGGGAAGGAATTGCATAAGATCCACGAATTCTTGCAATCATAATGAGAAGAGATCATTGAGGTTTTCCTAATTGAGAATATATTTCAATAAAATGCATGGACGGCATTTGACAAGAGCATCAGGGAACGAGGGAAGATCTGGAATCACACGTGATGCCCAAAAAGAGACACAATGATCAGCCAGAATCAGAATGGCCCTCGCCGCTCAGGATTAGCTTCCTCCTCATCCGTTCGCTGCAGCGAAGCTTTCACCGAACGGTATATGGCTTCTGCCAGCTTCGGCGGCACTGCATTGCCTATCTGTTTCCGCACCTCGCGAGCCCCGAAGCGGAATCGCATAGGGAAAGTCTGCAGGCACGCAAACTCTCTGTTGGTGAAGCCTCGTCTGCCCGATGGATGATAATTCTCGCCGCCGCCACAGGTTATCGTTCGTGCCTGTCTGTTGGCGTCGAAGGGTCGTCGGTGAGTCGCGCTACGTTGCAGCGCGCCCTCGACATCATGATCGGAGGCTCCCCGAGGAATTCGCGAAATGACCTGGTTAATCGTCACGTAGTCCCTGAGTCCGGAACCAGGAAGCCCATGCGTTGCTTCAGGAAAGGGCGGGAGTGTCTCCCCAGGACTATCAAGGCCATCAGATCAAGTAAACAAGAAAGACGCGATATCTACTTACCCAGATGCGATGATTACCAACCTCCTCCGTAGCTGTGGTACTCCGAAATCTGCACAATTGAGGATTGTCCACCGAACCGAGTAGCCAATTTCGATAAAATCCAGAACCACCCGATGGAAAGTTTCTCGATGCCGGTCATATAATCCGCTCGTCTCCTCCATTGTATGGACTCTCGGCTTTGCCTTCCGAACAAGCTCCGCGCAAGAAAAAATACATGCGGAGTTTGCATCGTCTGTAGCGCACTGTACAGTCTTAGCTGGTGAGAAGGTCTGGCATGGCGGAGACCCGTGCGTAACATCAACTTTAAGAAAATCATAGTTGTTCGTCAGAAAGGAAAAGACATCCGACTCTTCGCACTCGGCATCTCGGAAATTGAGACTATACGTATTCACCGCGTGTCTGGAATTATCAAATGCCCAGGTAGGGCGCAGACCAGCTTTGAGAGCACCGCAGGACACTCCGCCGGCGCCACAGAAGCCGTCTCCAAACGTGTACTGCCGACTGCTCTTGTTATCGGTACTTTGCTCAGT